GATGGGACTATGTGATGATGGGACTATGTGATGATGGGACTATGTGATGATGGGACCATGTGATGGTATCTGATGGGACTATGTGATGACGGGACTATATGTGATGATGGGACTATATGTGATGATGGGACTATATGTGAAGATGGGACTATGTGATGTTGGGACTATGTGATGATGGGGCTATGTGATGATGAGACTAGGTGATGATTGGACTATGTGATGATGGGACTATATGTGAAGATGGGACTATGTGATGATGGGACTTTGTGATGATGGGACTATATGTGATGATGGGACTATATGTGAAGATGGGACTATGTGATGATCGGACTATATGTGAAGATGGGACTTTGTGATAATGGGACTATGTGATGATGGGGCTATGTGATGATGGGACTATGTGATGATGGGAGTATATGTGATGATGGGACTATATGTGAAGATGGGACTATGTGATGATGGGACTATATGTGAAGATGGGACTTTGTGATGATGGGACTATGTGATGATGGGGCTATGTGATGATGAGACTATGTGATGATGGGACTATGTGATGATGGGACTATATGTGATGATGGGACTATATGTGATGATGGGACTATGTGAAGATGGGACTATGTGATGTTGGGACTATGTGATGATGGGACTAGGTGATGGGACTTTGTGATGATGGGACTTTGTGATAATGTGACTTTGTGATGATGAGACTATGTGATGATGAGACTATGTGATGATGGGAATATTTGTGAAGATGGGACTATGTGATGATGGGACTATGTTATGATGGGGCTATGTGATGATGGGACTATGTGATGATGGGATTAGGTTTTGGGACTTTGTGATGATGGGACTTTGTGATAATGTGACTTTGTGATGATGAGACTATGTGATGATGGGACTATGTGATGATGGGGCTATATGATGATGGGACTATGTGATGGGACTATGTGATGATGGGACTATGTGATGATGGGAATATGTGATGATGGGACTATGTGATGATGGGACTATGTGATGAGACTATGTGATGATGGAATTATGTGATGATGGGACTATGTGATGATGGGACTTTGTGATGATGGGACTTTGTGATGATAGGACTATATGATGATTGGACTATGTGATGGGACTATGTGATGATGGGGCTATGTGATGGTGGGACTATGTGATGATGGGACTTTGTGATGATGGGACTATGGTTATGGGACTATATGATGATGGGACTTTGTGATGATGAGACTATGTGATGATGGGCCTATATGTGAAGATGGGACTATGTGATGATGGGATTTTGTGATGATGGGTCCATGTGATGATGGGACTTTGTTGTGATTATGGGACTATGTGATTATGGGACTTTGTGATGATGGGACTTTGTGATGATGGGGCCATGTGATTATGGGACTTTGTTGTGATTATGGGACTATGTGATTATGGGACTTTGTGATGATGGGACTACTATGTGATGGGACTATGTGATGATGCGACTATGTGATGATGGGAATATGTGATGGGACTATGTGATGATGAGACTAGGTGATGATTGGACTATATGTGATGATGGGACTATGTGAGGATGGGACTATGTGATGAGGGGACTATGTGATGATGGGACTAGGTGATGGGACTTTGTTATGATGGGACTTTGTGATAATGTGACTTTGTGATGATGAGACTATGTGATGATGTGACTATGTGATGATGGGACTATGCGATGATGAGACTATGTGATGATGTGACTATGTGGTGATGGGACTATGTGATGGGACTTTGTGATGATGGGGCTATGTGATGGGACTATGTGATGCTGGGGCTATGTGATGGTGGGACTATGTGATGGGACTATGCGATGGTGATGGGACTATATGTGATGGTATGTGATGGGACTATGTGATGATGCGACTATGTGATGATGGGAATATGTGATGGGACTATGTGATGATGGGGCTTTGTGATGATGAGACCATGTGATGATGGGACTATATGATGATGGGACTTGTGATGATGGGACTATATGTGATGATGGGGCGATGTGATGGGACTAGGTGATGGGACTTTGTTATGATGGGACTTTGTGATAATGTGACTTTGTGATGATGAGACTATGTGATGATTGGATGGGACTATATGTGAAGATGGGACTATGTGATGATGGGACGATGTGATGATGGGACTATGTGAGGATGGGACTATGTGATGAGGGGACTATGTGATGATGGGACTAGGGGCTATGTGATGATGAGACTATGTGATGATTGGATGGGACTATATGTGAAGATGGGACTATGTGATGTTGGGACTATGTGATGATGGGACTGATGATGGGACTATGTGATGGGACTTTGTGATGATGGGAGCATGTGATGATGGGACTTTGTTGTGATTATGGGACTATGTGATGAAGGGACTTTATGATGATGGGACCATGTGATGATGGTGCTTTGTTGTGATTATGGGACTATGTGAGTATGTGATGGGACTATGTGATGATTGGACAATGTGATGATGGGACTTTGTGGGAATTATGTGATGATGGGACTATGTGAGGATGGGACTATGTGATGAGGGGACTATGTGATGATGGGTCTATGTGATGGGACTATGTGATAATTTGTGATGATGGGACTTTGTGATAATGTGACTTTGTGATGATGAGACTATGTGATGATGGGCCTATATGTGAAGATGGGACTATGTGATGTTGGGACTATGTGATGATGGGACTCTGTGATGATGGGATTATGTGATGATGGGACTATGAGATGGAACTATGTGATGATGGGACTACTATGTGATGATGGGGCTATGTGATGGCGGGACTATGTGATGATTGGACTTTGTGATGATGGGACTATGGGTGATGTTGGGACTTTGTGATGATGAGACTATGTGATGATGAGACTATGTGATGATGTGACTATGTGGTGATGGGACTATGTGATGATGGGACGATGTGATGATGGGACTATGTGATTATGGGACTATATGATGATGGGACTATGGGATGATGAGACTATGTGATGATGAGACTATGAGATGATGGGACTATATGTGATGATGGGGCGATGTGATGGGACTAGGTGATGGGACTTTGTTATGATGGGACCATGTGATGATGGTGCTTTGTTGTGATTATGGGACTATGTGATTATGGGACTTTGTGATGATGGGACTATCAGATGGGAGTATGTGATGATGGGACTTTGTGAGGATGGGACTATGTGATGAGGGGACTATGTGATGATGGGACTAGGGGCTATGTGATGATGAGACTATGTGATGATGTGACTATGTGATGATGGGACTATGCGATGATGAGACTATGTGATGATGAGACTATGGGACTATGTGATGATGGGATGGGACTATGTGATGATGGGAATTTGTGATGATGGGACTTTGTGATGAGATGGGACTATGTGATGATGGGATGGGACTATATGTGAAGATGGGACTATGTGATGTTGGGACTATGTGATGATGGGACTGATGATGGGACTATGTGATGGGGCTATGTGGTGATGGGACTATGTGATGATGGGCCTTTGTGATGATGGGACCATGTGCTGATGGGACTATATGATGATTGGACTATGATGGGACTTTGTGATGATGATACTATGTGATGATGGGACTATGTCTATATGTGAAGATGGGACTATGTGATGTTGGGACTATGTGATGATGGGACTTTCTGATGATGGGACTTTGTGATGATGATACTATGTGATGATGGGACTATGTGATAATTTGAACCATGTGATGATGGGACTATGTGATAATTTGTGATGATGGGACTTTGTGATAATGTGACTTTGTGATGATGAGACTATGTGATGATGGGACTTTGTGATGATGGGACCATGTGATGATGGGACTTTGTTGTGATTATGGGACTATGTGATGATGGGACTTT